ATTATACCCGGAATAGGCATCGAGAAAAGTGAGGATCTCGTGGCCGGCCATGGCATCGATCATGCGATCGATGTTGGGCAACGGAAAAGAATCTTTGGTTTATGCTTTGTTCAAATCCTTATAGTCCACACACATTCTAAGTTTGTTCCCTTTTTTAGGCACTACAACTACATTGGCTAGCCATTCGGGATATTTCACCTCCCGAATGGACCCTATCTTGAGAAGTTTGGTTACCTCGTCCTTTATGAATGTGTGCTTTACCTCGGACTGGGGTCTTCTCTTTTGCTTCTCCGGTCTGAACCTAGGGTCCAAGCTTAGCCGATGCGTCGTTATGTCCGGTGGGATCCCTGTTATATCTAAATGGGACCAGGCAAAGCAATCAATGTTATTGATAAGAAATTGAATAAGTTTCTTCCTGAGTTCGGGACTCAACCCCGTTCCCAGGTATACCTTCCGCTCGAGCCAGTGCTCGATTAGTGTGACTTGCTCTAGTTCCTCAATCGTTGATTTGGTGGCGTCATAGTCATCCGGAATCATGAAGGATCGAGGGATCCTCTGATCATCATCTTCTTCAATCTTCTAGTTATCTGGTTGGGTCAAAGCCGATGTCCGTGATTGCTATTTGGTATCTCGTTTCCCTTCGGAGCCCGATCCCTTTATTGGCAAAGGCGAGGATATTAGTTTAGCTTCCTCGACGGCGAACATTTCTCTTGCGGCTGGTTGTTCTCCGTACACTATTTTGACTCCTCTCGATGTTGGGAATTTGAGGACCTGGTGTAGGGTCGAAGGTACATCTCTCATGTTGTGGATCCATGGCCTTCCGAAAAGGGCGTTGTATCTCATGTCGCCTTCGATCACGTGGAACTTCATTTCCTAGATGGTTCCTGCCACGTTTATTGGTAGAATTATCTCGCCTTTGGTGGTTTAACAATCCATATTGAATCCGTTTAGAAGCAGGGTTGCAGGTACGATCTGGTCCTGCAGGCCGAGCCGTTCTATGACCTTCAATCTGATGATGTTGGTCGAGCTACCTGAATCAATCAACACACGCTTAACTTTAGTTTTATTCATGAGTACGGATATTACCAGTACATCGTTATGAGGTTGTATGACTCCTTCTGCATCTTCATCATTGAAGGACAGAGTTCCTATGGGTGTGTAATCTTGAGTTCGAGATCACTTTTCTCTCACAATCCATGTCTTAGTGAGTTTAAGCATTGGTCCCCGAGGGGTATCGGCGCCGCCGATGATCATGTGAATGACGTGATGTGGTTCTTCTTGTTCGTTTTGCTTGCCGAAATCCCTATTTTTAAAATGGTTCTTCTCCCTATCACTCAAAAATTCTCGAAGGTGCCCTTTGTCGAATAACCGGGCTACTTCCTCTCTTAGTTGCCTGCAATCTTCTGTTCTGTGGCCATTGGTGCCATGATATTTGCACATTTGATTGGGATTCCTCTCGGTAGGATCGGTCTGCATGGGTCGAGGCCATTTAGTGTCTTTGATGTGTCCGATAGCCGAAACAATGGTGGATGCATCAATGCTGAAGTTATATTCCGATAACCGAGGTGCTTCCTTAGATCCGGCATGCCTATCGAACCTACTTCTGTTCATCAACCCCCGGGACCCTTGACCTCGATCACTTCTTTTGTTATTTTACCCGAGGTTATGTCTCGATTCACTAATTTTGTGGCTTCCGTTGTACGGTTCACTGATTAGTATCCCTTCGAACAGGGGGTTCATACCCCAATTGATCATCTTCGACCCTAATTTTTGATTGGTACCGATTGTGCACGTCGGCCCACGTGATGGATGGGTATTCGATCAGGTTATGCTTTAGTCCCCGTGAAGCCGTCGAACTTCGTTCGTTCAAACCTTGGGTGAAAGCCTGAACAGCCCAATCGTCTGTGACTGGTGGCAAGTCCATTCGTTCCATTTGAAAACGAGATACGAACTCCCTCAGCATCTCGTTATCCTTTTGTCTTACCTTGAAGAGGTTCGATTTCCTTGTTGCGACTTTTATGGCGCCAACATGTGCTTTCACAAAAGAATCTACTAACATGGCGAACGAGTCGATAGAATTTGGTGGTAGGTTGTGATACCAAATCATTACCCCATTCGAGAGGGTCTCTCCGAATTTTTTTAACAACACAGATTCGATTTCATCGTCTTCTAAATCATTGCCCTTGATGGCACATGTGTAAGAAGTGACGTGCTCGTTGGGATCGGTCGTTCCATTATATTTGAGAATTTCGGGCATACGGAATTTTTTGGGGATTGGTTTCGGGGCTGCGCTCGAGGGAAAAGGTTTTTGCACTAATTTTTTCGAATCCAACCCTTTTATCATTGGTGGAGATCCCAGGATCTGATCGACCCTGGAGTTATAAGTTTCTACATTTTTATCATTGGCTTCGACTCGCTTTGTGAGTTCCTCGAACAATTTAGCAATTTCGGGAGTAGTCCCCGATTCTTGCTCATTTGACTTCACTATGGCTGGCTCCGTTCTGTGGGTGATTTCTCGAGGTGGATTGGGCTCCGGCCTGCTTTGTAGCTGGGTTTGGCTTTGTAACTGAGCTATTGCTGCCTGTTGGGCTTGCAACATTTCGAAAATCATACGCAAGCTAACGCCGTTTTCCTCGACGTTATGGGTATCTCGAGTTGCAGATCGAGTGCCACCATGGATGCTATTCTCGGGTTCAGCATGTAGGTTCGCCTCAATGGCTACATGCGAATTGATATCTATTGGCGCTCCGATTCGAGCTCCAACGGCGTTTACAAGTGGTCTTTCAGTACTAGGTGTCAAGTTGTTGTTTTCGCCTTGAAGACCGGCTCCGTTGTCGATTGGTGAAGCCATCTGATTGGTGGTTAGTTGTAGCTAATCCGAAATTCAAGATATTTTCGAAAACAAGCGCAAAACACAATGGCGTATTTTTTTCAGATTCATATCAAATAACCACTGTTATCCTTAGCCCCACGGTGGGCGCCAAACTGTTTACCCGAAAAACGGATAGAGTTGAATTTGTACGTAGTTCTAAGGATATGTGGTGCAGCTTAATACAGATTACAGGAATAAATAGAAATACCCAATATGTGTTGAAAAGAATACTAAATAGATAAGGTTGCAAGAAAGATGAAATTTAGGACTAGACAAGTGGAATCAATTTAAGAGGCTTGAAAGAACAACTCTTCACTATCGAGAATATGGTATTTTGATTACAATGTAAGCATAAAAAAAAAATTCCCTTACAGAAATGATAACCCTCTCCTTCATAGTAGAGAGATCTTACTTTAAATATAATTAAAAATACTCAGTGGGAGATCCATGATAAATCAGCTTTTCCACAATTCCTGCCAAGATTCTCTCCTCTAGTGGGATTGCAACGGCTTTTGTCTGTGAGCTCGATCTTGATTTGAGCTCGATTCCGACTCGAGCTCTCGATCATGGCTTGAGCTCGATCCTGACTCGAGCTCTCGATCTTGGCTTAAGCTCGATCCTGACTCGAGCTCTCGATCTTGGCTTAAGCTCGATTCTGACTCGGACCCTTGAATTAATTCGGGGTCAATGTTGGTCGGTCTCTGGATCATAAGATTGATAGCTTTACTTTGCATCATAGTTCGATTTGGATTCGAGCTTGATAATGATATCGAACTCGACATTGATCGGCCCCTCGGGTTCGAAGCTTATTTGTACCATCTTCGGAACCCATCTCGACGTCTCACTTCGATCGATTATCTTTCGTACTCGATCAGACGTACGAAGGCCGAAATCTATTTCGACCGTATACAAGCATCCTTGGCATCCACACTTTCATGAGACTTCTGTATCCATCTTTCTTCACTATTACTCGAAAAACATCCCTAATTGACTCACCTGAAAATCTGTCACACCCACAAACGCCTTGCAGCACATATCAAAATTTACCAGTATAGCTCCATGAATGCATCACTACAGATTGAGCATAACCTACTCTATACAAACTTGAACTAATATTTAAATTGGACAACACAACTGCACAAGACATGCACTTAACATGGAATTAAAATTGTCCTTCAAGATGACTAGCTAGACAAGGTGGCGAAGTACTATAAGCTCATAGCAGACTGAAGCAAAATATTGTATCCATGGCCCCAGGCCCACACTTATGGTCGACTCAAATTGTGATAACCAGCCAGGCGGGCAGAGTAAAAGCACCATGTTTCCAACTGATAGCACAGAAATTCAATATCAGCATAGCTTCAAATATGGCCTACTGGATAGTCAGTCACACAACTACTAAAATTAAACAATCGAAAAATATGAACAGAGGTCTTGAGAGAAGCAACTAAAGAGCACAATGTATACTTTTTTTTTGTACTTAAATAAAACCAAATACATTTCTTTTACCAATCCTGAACTTTCTTCTCGCGCACCTTAGTTGGACTTTCAAAGTCACTATCATGGACAACATCTTTGATTTGATGAAAAGAGAATTTAGGAAAGGAAAAAATTGAATATCCTCATTCGTCGTAAAGGTCTTTTGATATAGCGAACTACCAGATTGACCATAAAACTGTTTCTTTGATTTTAGCGGTACTGCATCAGAACAAATATTTCCGCAAGAGAAAAATTTACAAAAATAAATAAATGAAATCTTACACAAATATTTCAGCAAAAGAAAATTTTTAGAAAAAATAATGAACCAGTGTGTTTCATGATCTTTGGAACCTTATAGCAGCATATATCAATTATCTATTCTGTTGTTTCTGTTCCAGATAAACAAGAATAACAAAGATTGATAATTAACTTGAATTCCTAATCATTCAAGAGAGAACAATGTGCACAAAATTTAGAAACGGATTCAAACAATCATCAACTGGCTCTCATCCTGGCCACACTAGGACTAGGCGAAATGGGAAAAACTTGTTGTCCGTTAATAGTTAGGGTGGGTTAATTTTACCGATGGTCATCCAACTTATCATTTATTTCACAAAAGTCATTTATCTATTTTGCATCACTTAAAAGTCACTCAACTTAACCTTCGTAACTTAAAAGTCATTCTAGCCCAAAAACCTATATAATATCCTATAAAAATATAACATGACATTAAATTTAATTAAAAAATCTAATTATAGTGCCACATAAACTTAGATGGACCGTACCCAATTTAGACCCATTTCATCCATAATTTGATTTGACCCATATCCCAAATGAGTTTTAATAATTTAAACATTAGAAGGAAAAGAAGAGAACAATTATTTTGTGTTAAAAATATCTTACTTTATTTGTTACGTAATAACCTTAATGCCACTACCTATAATTTCATTAAAAATATGAACAGAACTAGCACAAAACCAGTTTTTGCATCCTTCATATTATTTTATAATTTTTCATGAAGTTAAAATACTACCATATCAATCTCACATAACATATAAATGTGCCACTACCATACAAGAACAACAAGCTAATAAGAACCTATTTTCACAAATTACTATTCCATTAAAGTCAAAATATTGCTTATTAAGCAATACTAATAGACAAAAATACTGTTCAGTAAGAAACACCCACAATAAAATTGCATAGTAGAAATTATCAATATACACCGCAATCGTAGACAACCTATAGCGATAGTTTGGACAAAAAAAAAAGACAACGTATTGTGTCATTGACCGTAAATGTACAACCAAAACTTAAAGATAAATTCAAAAGGCCTAATTTTTCTTAAATTTCTTAGACTTCTTTTTCTAAGAATTAACTACAAAATCAAAGTGTTAGTCCAGTTAATTGTTCAAATATTAATAACCCATTTTGGTTATAGGTCACATCGGGAAGAAATGAGTCTAACTTATATATGGTATATTTAAGCTTATGCGGCATTATTGTTAGATTTTTTAATTAAATGTAATGCCATGTTATATTTTTATTGGATATTTTATAGGTCCATGCCATGTCTAATGTTCAAAATATTAAAACCTATTTGGGTTATGGGTCAAATCAAATTATGGATAAAATGGGTCTAAATTGGGTATGGTCCATTTAAGCTTATGTGACACTATAATTAGATTTTTTAATTAAATTTAATGTTATGTCATATTTTTATAGGATATTTTATAGGGTTTGAACTAGAATGACTTTTAAGTTATAAAGGTAAAGTTGAGTGACTTTTAAGTGATGAAAAATAGATAATATGTTCTGACTTCGTTCTTTGGTTCGATGAACCCGGGGTCGTTCTTCAATCCATCATGTTTCGGTTCCGATCCGTCATGTAATAGATGAGCCCGATTTTGACCGTATACAAAATCCCTTCTTACAATTCTCATAAACAGAGAAATAAACCGCATGAGCTGGACCAGCACCAAGAGCCATAGCTCCAATGCCACGGTAAAGTCCAGCAATGCCTTCAGTTTGAACAATGGACCGAAAAGCCTGACGGATGCTAATGGACTTGATAGGGCAAGAACCAATGGCTTGCATTTGGGTCTTGATTGTATCAACTGGGAACATGGCCATGTGTTCCACCATACCAGCTACAGAGCCCGCAATCATGAATTACCAAAACTGAAGCCCATCGTGTGTCGGCGATACTATAATCTCAGGATGGAAATCGGATGACTGAGGGATGTGTTTACCTGAAAAACGGATAGATTTGAATTTGTACGTATTTCTAAAGATATGTGATATAACTTAATACAAATTACAAGAATAAATAAAAATATCAAATATGGATTACAAAGAATGCAAAGTAAACAAGATTGTAAAGAATATGATTTTTAGTACTAAACAAGTTGAATCAATTTGTGAAGCTTGGAAGAACAACTATTCATTATAGGAGAATATGGTACTTGAATGACAATGTAAGCAAAAATTTGGTCTTACAGAAATAATAATCATTCCCTTTATAGTAGATGGATCTTACTTTAGATATAATTAAAAATACATAGTGGGAGACCCATGATAAATCAGCTTTCCCATAATTCCTGCCAGGATTCTCTCCTCTAGTGGGATTGCAACGACTTTTGTCTATGAGCTCGATATTGACTTGAGTTTTCGGTCTTGACTCGAGCTCTCGATCTTGACTTGAGTTCGATTCTGACTCGGATCCTTGGGATTGATTCGGGGTCAGTGTTGGTCGGTCTCTGAATCATAAGCTCGATAACTTTACTCTGCATCATAGTTCGACTTGGATTCGAGCTTGATAATGATATCGAGCTCGACATTGATCGGTCCCTCGGGCTCGAAGCTTGTTTGTACCATCTTCGGAACCCATCTCGAAGTCTTACTTCGATCCATTATGTTTTGACCTCGATCAATCGTATGAAGGCCGAAATCTATTTCGACCGTATACAGATAGTCTTCTCGTTTCTCGGGAAGGATGTGGTGAGAAACGATATGATTTTTTAATGGTTCGATCGGATTATAAGCTGACGTTTACATTGGGCTCGACCATGACGCACGTGATAGCTGTCCGTCGATTTTGTCTTTCAAGGCATTTAATACATGTCAGACGGTGGTCGACCACCGCTGATACTGAACCGCCATTGCTTTAGCCTATAAATAGCCCTTCCTTTTATCATTTACCACTTTTACATCTTCAATCTTCCAAATTTCCCAAGTTCTCTTAGTTTATTCGCAAATCTGTGATTCCTTTTTGCAAAATTCTTCTTCTAAACCACCAAATCTTTGTCACCTTCTTTAAATCCAAAATGGTGAAGATATCAAAAACCGTCCCCCAAAAATAAAAAGCTTGTTCTTCCCAATCTGCCGCCGACAAAACACCGGTGGATCCACGGCCTGAGGAGTGCGTTCCGGCGGCGTGTGTTCTTACCTCCGATTTCAAACTCGATAAAGATTCACCGGTTCCTAGCCGATGTGAGCCCGTATCGAGATATATTTGTTCGATAACCCGAGAGCATATGGAGCGGATAAAAAAAGATTGTAACTGGGAGAACAAAGAAGTGGTAGTGCCGTCTCCCGAAGAGGATATTACTACTCACGTGAGAAGGTTTTTAAACATGTATACTTACCCTTTCACATTAGGTCCCCTCGACCCCGTTATCATAGATTTTTATCGTAAATACCTAATAACCCTAGGCAGATACATCCTTCCTTTTGGCGAATCGTTATTTTGATCCGATATTTTGTGAGTAAAATCGAGGGGATGCCTTTCACCCTCGATCATCTTGTCCGATTATACCGTCCTCGCCTTTTTTGAGGAGGGTTAATAAAACTCCAACGTCGAGCTACCAAGGCTCTGTTCTAGAGTATAGACGAGGATAAGGATTGAGGCTGGATGGGCAGATTCGTTCCAGTAAGGACATTGGACCTGATCCCGACCGAAAAGATGCCTTTTTCCGAGGAGTGGAGCATGAAGCGTAAGGGTAATTCTGTCGTTATCTCCTACTATTTTATCCTTTCATTTCCTTTCTCACCAATATTCCCCTTTCGTGATGCAGCGCTTCCCTGGATGCCCGGCACAGTGCCCGATCTCAAGAACTGGGTACGTGATCTGGTTTCGACCTCCTCCTATGCCGAGCGCTCATGGTGCGACTTGTCAAAGGGCCGATGGGAGGCCAAAAATCACGGTAAGCACCTTTCTCGTATCTTTTGGTAATTTGAATAAGATGCTTTTCACACACTTTAATAAAATTTTCCCTATTTAGGTGTGGGTAAAGACGCAGTTTTGAGGCCCTCATCCATCAAGGAAGAGGCTTCGGCCTCTGTCCCAAAGCCCGTAAAAAATAATAAGAGGAAAAGAGTTCCCGTCCTCGAAGATCAAAAACCGAAGAAGAGGGCGGCTCGTAAGACAAACAAGAATATCATTCCTTTGACCGTAGAATCAGTTCTGCATCTGAGGGATGAAGAAGAAGAAGAAGAGAACGATTGGTCTACACTGGCGGCCCGAATGAAGAAGACCACCGACGTTCCACTGGCATCTGGATCGATGGTGGTTCATAAGGCTCCGCCTCGTACTGAGGATATATCGGAGAAAGATTCGGGCAGAGTCCCCGAGTTGTTGGAGATTGAAGATGCTTCCTATCGAAGCCAACAGATGTGGGGTATGTCTGAAGGGGCTCTTCTCGAATCTTTTCGAACCGAAGAGAATGCCCCAGGTGATTTATTTGGGGCAGTAGCAATCGAAGACTCGCCCACCTTCCCTGCTTTTTCCGCAGAGGCAATTCAGGAGGCCCAAGCTTTGGGGGCCCTCGAATTAGATAGGCCTCATGATGGAGAGGATCCTCTTCGTGACCTGTTTATCGGTGTCGAGGACGCTACCGGTACAAGTGACGTATCAGATCTTTTTCACGGAGTGCAACATGCTTTGAATCAGGTAAGCCTTAAATTATATGGCGTTATCCTTAAGTTTGCTTTTCTTTTTTAACTTCGTTTCTTCTTTCTTTTCAGGCCATGACAGTTCATCGAGAATCATGTTCTCGGTCCCGAATCGAGCTGCGTCGATACGAGGCCGAGCTTCAACGGGTTACCGAGGAGAGGAACTCCCTAAAACTCCTCTTAGGCCAGAGGGGAGAGGAAATAAAAGACCTTCGAGCTGAGTTGGCCAAGGATCACCAAGATCAGAAAGATCTGTCCAAGAAGGTAATAATACTTTTAAAATCCTATGGTCTCGATACCGGAACGATGGCTAATTTTTCGGTCTGACAGATATAGCAGAAAATTGAGATGATCAAAAAACTCCGTGAAGAAGTCGATGTGATAAAAGCAGAGTCTTTGAAGTGGAAAGAAGGAATGGACCGCTTTGTTGTAGAGAAAGAAACTGCTCGAGCCCAATTGTCATCGGCCGAAAACCAACTTCAAAAAATGAAGGAGAAAGGCTCGGTCCAAGCAAGAAGAATTGAGGAGCTCGAGGCTCGGTTGGCCTCTGAACTTGCCAAAGCCGAATCTGACGCCGAAAAGGCAAAGGCTGATGCAGATGCACTCGTGGCCATCTATCGGGCCGATGCTGAAGCTGCGCAGGAGCAAGCAAGAGAGGCAGCCGAGACTGTCGATACTTGAGCACATTGGGTCGCTGAAGAGATTAAAAGGGCCAAAGAACTCGAAATCAATGCTGAAGACTTGGTTTCCGATGACGATGATGATGATGGGAGTAAGAGCGGGTCCGAGAACGGGGGGGAGCCCGATAGAGAAGAGACCGCTCGCAGGAAGCTTAGTCCTTAATTTTTATGTTGTAATCAATCATGTAAACAATCTTGTATATATAAAAATATCCCTTTTTGCCGACTTGCTTCTATTCTGTTTCCTGTCTTGTGAAGATTTTATTCACGCCTTATGAATATTTTCACAAGGATTTAGGCAACTTGATCAAATTTGAACTTCGTAGCCTTTATAACTGAGTGAGCGCTTACTCAAACTTGAAATAAGGTAGCTCATAGGCTTAGTAGTCAAGTTGAGTGATTGATTGGACATAGGCTTACTCAACTTGAAGTGATGTAGCCCTTAGGCTTATTAGTTGAGTGAGTGATTCGAACTCGAAGTGATATAGCCCGTAGGCATAATGATCGAGTGAGTGCTTTCTTGAACTCGAAATAAAAATAGCCCGTAGGCTTAGTAGTCGAGTGAATGATTCGAACTCGAAGTAATGTAGCCCGTAGGCATAATTGTCAAATGAGTGCTTGCTCGAACTTGAAATAAACATAGCCCGTAGGCTTAGTAGTCGAGTGAATGATTCAAACTCGAAGTAATATAGCCCGTAGGCGTAGTGGTCGAGTAAGTGCTTGCTCGAACTCGAAATCAAAGTAGCCCGTAGGCTTAGTAGTCGAGTGAATGATTCGAACTCAAAGTAATGTAGCCCGTAGGCATAATGGTCGAGTGAGTGCTTGCTCGAACTCGAAATAAAAGTAGCCCGTAGGCTTAGTAATCAAGTGAATGATTCGAACTCGAAGTAACGTAGCCCGTAGGCGTAATGGTCGAGTGAGTGCTTGCTCGAACTCAAAATAAAAATAGCCCGTAGGCTTAGTAATCGAGTGAATGATTCAAACTCGAAGTAATGTAGCCCGTAGGCATAATGGTCGAGTGAGTGCTTGCTCGAACTCAAAATAAAAATAGCCCGTAGGCTTAGTAATCGAGTGAATGATTCAAACTCGAAGTAATGTAGCCCGTAGGCATAATGGTCGAGTGAGTGCTTGCTCGAACTCGAAAAAAAAGTAGCCCGTAGGCATAATGGTCGAGTGAGTGTTTGCTCGAACTCGAAATAAATGTAGCCCGTAGGCTTAGTAGTCGAGTGAATGATTCGAACTCGACGTAATGTAGCTAGTAGGAGTAATGGTCGAGTGAGCGCTTGCTCGAACTCAATCCTATTTGCATAATAAATCTCAAAATAGAGGAATTGTTCTTGGATATGAGATATTGGTAAAGAAAAGAACTTTCTTTGCAAGTCATTATACATATGTTCATATTTTGCGTCAAGGCTCGGGCCAACTACATGAGCATGGTTCGTTTTGACCATTTGCCTGTTACAACTTTTCCTATTGGAACCCTATTGTTATGAAATAACTTTCTTGCATCAGAACTTGATATATTTGAGGGCTAAT